TTCCAAGTTTGTTAACTTTTCTACAGCCCCATATGTCGTTTTTAGCATTAAAATCACCAAGAGCGATCGTTGGAAGATTGGGAGGGAATAGTTTTTTCATAAAATCTGTTGAGAATTCATTACACGGTGGGTTGTAGATGCAAGAAATTTTAATATTATTGTTGTTTATTTGTAGTAAAATGGAGGTTTCTTCTCTATTATTTTCGCTGCTCAGGTTGTATATTGATGCTTTGTACTTCTTATGGATAAATATCGCGCTTCCGCCGCCTGTGCGAATAATACGGTCACATTTAAAGGTGTTGTAGTTCGGTACTTTCAGTCTATGGCTGGGCTTTGTGTGCGTTTCAGTAACTGCTATTATGTCAGGGTTGAAATTTGCAATGAAATCGAGAAATTCGGCAAATTTTGTTAGGATGTTGTTTGCATTCCATAGAGCTATGGTTATTGGGGTGAAGGAGAATTTTCTACACATGATCACTGCTAGAGGTTCCTTGGTTTGGGATAGCTTGCGAATTATTTAGAAGTTGCTGTTGGAAAATGGATATACATTTTGCGAGGTTGTTGCTGGCTTCCACAGCTTGTTGTAGTAATAATGCCGGGTTTAGATTTATTGGTTGTTGGGTGCTATTGTTTTGGACAACATTAGCATAGCTAAATCTTGAGCTGGTGGTATTACTATTGAAATTGTTTCTATTTTCTCTGTTACTGAAGGATCTTCTATTATTTGTTCTATTGTACATTTTTTCAACAATGCTTTCGTATTTAGGGCATTTACTGTAATTTGCTGGGTGATCTCCACCACAGTTGCAGCATTTTGGAGGTTCGTCGTTTGTTTTTGTACATTCATTGGTAGCATGGTTCCCTGCACATTTTACACAGCGGTGAGGATGGTTGCACAGTCTTTGACCGTGGAAGAAATCCTGGCATCGGTGGCATTGTGAGGGGCGGTCGGATTTTCTGTATTCTTCTATGTTGATACACATATTGAACAGGTATTTAATATTGTAAATGTCTTTACAGCTGGGGATTTCCTTGTTTAGGGTTGCGACAAAAGTGGGCATAGGAATTTTGTTACCATGGTTTCGTCTATACATTTGAGTAACGTTAATAACAGAAGAGTTTACTTTTGCTAGTTCGTATTGTACATCTTCTGCACTGTATTCTTTTGGTACTTTTTTGACGACGACTCTAAAGGTACGTTCTTCTGGTAAGCTGTATGTGTGATGAGCAATATTTGCTTCTTTTAAAATTGTTATTATGCGACATCTGTCTTCTGTTTTCTTGGTTTTTATAGTGAAGTAATCACCATTATTTCTTGCGTTATAGTCTTTTATATCCTTATCTTGGAGTTGTTTATTAAAATCCTTCCAGTTGAAATTGTTGTCCTTGATTACGATGGGGGGAATTTTGGATATTTTCTTTTGAAGAGTGAAGTCGTCTTCTGGATTGGGGTCATTAATAGTGTGATTTATCCTAGTTGGGGATGGTGGTGTTGTCTTGAACCTTTTTGTTTTTGAAAAAGAAATATTATTTCCTCTGCAATTCTGGTTTAAGGTATCAGGAAAGTTTATGTCCATATTGTTATCCCGTGAGTCATTTTGATCAAAAAATGGGATAGAAGGAAATTGATTTTTATTATCTTGGGCGAAAGTATCAATTTTTTCCGTGGTGGTTTCTGAGAGGACACTAAATAGGGTATTTTCGTTGGATATTTTGCTTTTGAGTTCGAGATATTTATTTTTGAACTGGTTATGGTGGTCATTAATTTTATTCAGGGTCTGTGCGACCTTATGACCTAGATTTTTAAAATTAGCGGAATTTCTCAATAACTCAAGGGTTTCGATTAACATATTTTCAAAAGGTATAGCGATATCATTGATAAAGTTCAAATCTAATTCTTCCTTATCGATTAAGTTGTCAGTGGGGGTGTCGGATTCTAAGTCCGTACAATCTTCATCCGTTGATTGAACTGTATTTTTGAGGCGATTTTTCCGCTTTTTCTTTTTGTACGCTTTGCCGGTGTTAGGATAGCTTATATCCAAAATATTTTTGGAAGGGGTACATCCCTCTTTAACAGTGGCGTTTAAATTGGCATTTGAATCCTCAATAATAACTACCGCGTCCATAGTACTCTCGGAGATAAGAGGTGAAATCGTATTTTGCTGGTCCTGTACAGGACCATTTTGTGATAAATCAGTAGGTGTGGCCATGAAACTCTGGTCCCACCCGGAATCAACCGTCGCTAAACTATATTCCACAATAAATACATAAAAAACAAAACTTACTTAGGCAAATTTCAACTAACTAGCACAAATTAAACGCAAGAATACTTACAATCAGCGTGCTACCTTCGCATCGTCACCAGCTCCTCACTAAATCTAGTTTACGAATGAGCCATTTAATACATAATCTAGTAAAAATAAGAAAGTGGTAGTAAATATATGTCTAAATTTATTTTTAATTTATGATTATGATTGGTTTATCTTATTTACTTGTCAACCACTGCAGATTCAATTCTCAAATATATATGATAAATTTCGTCCGATTTCTTTCAAAATACCTTTTTCCTATCCGACGGAGTTTTGTCCCGCAAATTATGTTAATAGCTGTCAATGCTTGTAAATAATTTTGCGCATTTGTTATGTATTTCCCCTTTTCTCTGAGGCTATGTTTCTACTGTGCACCTCAGAAGCTCGGGGGTAATACCTCCAGGGGAGGCAAGGCAGTCTACCACAAAACCTCTTCTCGCTCATATATTTGTTTTTCCAAATTTTCTCTTAAATTTGTCTTTTCCAAGTACATAATTTATCTACTGCATTTCCAGTTTCAAACAAAAATTACTTAGAAGAAAACTAACTCTAATGCATCTCTATGAATCTCAAACTTGAAATTTAATGTGTTTTTCAGTTTAACACGTTCACGCCGGGTGACCCACCGGTGGGTCACGCTAGATTGTCTCATCTTGGCAGCGCACCGGAGTAAAAACTGGTAACAATAAATTTCATTTTTAGTTTTTTTCCGGGAATAATAAAAATCCATAACTACCAATTGTTTTTAACGGATGCAATTTTTATACTGAATCGCTTCTTCGCCGTGATAAATTTATTATTATGACTTGAGCTTCTCATGCAGATACTACGAGCCGCCCACTGCCTTGTACTCCTTCACTATCCTAATGCCAATTATACCAGTCGCCCTAGGGCATAATATGTCAGATGCAGAGGTCAAGTGCCCGCTCACGCGGGCAGGCACCTCACCAAATTCCAGATCGTCGTCGTCGTCCGTGATAAATTTCCTTACAGTGAATTGTTATTGGTGAGAATAGACTAACTCCTCCCGAATATTATCTAATATTGAAATAGTTCTTCTACCAGTATTTCCTCTTTTCCCGTACCAGTATTTTCACTTTTCCCGGCGAGAACGTGTTAAACTTGTTTGTTCANTTTCCTTACAGTGAATTGTTATTGTTGAGCATAGATTAACTCCTCCCGAATATTATCTAATATTGAAATAGTTCTTTTACCAGTATTTTCTCTTTTCCCGGCGAGAACGTGTTAAACTTGTTTGTTCAATCTCACTACTTCATTTTAATTTTCTCTCAGTAAAAGATACTGAACCCCAACTTTCACCTTTCAGTTGCGCTTCGGGGATTTATTATTTATTTCCACTCAGATGAATTAGTTAGAGCCCCTAGAGGGGCTGCTGCTAAGATAACCATCACATATGAGTATGAGTTCTTTCAAAATAGAATTTGGATTCATACGCACAACTGGTTCACTCTTTAAATAGTTTGCGCAGACTACTTATAAAATACCGTGTGGAGGCTTTCTGATGTAGAAAGTGGTGATGGTTAATACGACATGCCAAAATATACAAATGATTTAACCAAAAGCCAATTTAATTTTCGGTTGTTTTTCTCAACGTGTTTCCCATTTGATGTTTCTTATTTTTCTCAGATTTTTCAAGAAATTTTCTCATTCGTAACGCTACGACTTAAAAGAATAAAAAATTTTAATTCAGTAAAAATTAAATATTCTGGGAAAAAAATTTGAAAAGAAACATTAGTTAGTAAGTTTAAAGCGTTTTTATGATAGATATTTTTTTATTGTGAATATTGAGCAATACAGATGATTATGGGCAAGAATTATGAGTAACATTTATTGGAGAAAAAAATAATTAATTCGGTCATCATTAAATTTACTGCTATACAAAGCTTTGAATGGGCAGGACACCACCTAATGAGATTGGATGACGGTCGAGCCATGAAGATGTTCTTGATCAAACTATCTGGTATTCCGAATTAGAAGAAGACCAAAACTTAAGAGGTTTGGCTGTCTGGAAAATGACCTTAACACGTTGAGTGCCACGCTAATTTTATATATGGCTTGCTCGTCTGGCCACACGGTAAATAACTCCAAACTAAATTTGCAAATATAAACAGATTTTGCTACTTTATAAAAGGTTTAGTATAAATTAACTGAAAAAGTGGTGAATTATATATGCTTGCGAATTGTTTAAAAATAGTGGTGAATAAAAATCTACTAAATTAAATTTATTAAACTAAGAATCACAATAATTAAGCAAATTTTGAATAAATTTTCTGCAATTCCATAAAAGAGTGTAAATTTTATAGTTCTATATCATGTTATACGCTGTCAGCCAGTTATTTTTCGCTGCCTATGTGAAAGGTTAGTGTCAGCAAGCTGTGGTAGACGCAGCCTAAATGTAATTTCAGTGTCAGCCACCGGTGGTTGACGCTGCCTAAGTGTAATTTCAGTGTCAGCCACCGGTGGTTGACGCGGCCTAAATGGAAAGTCCAGTGTCAGCCACTGATGGCTGACGCAGCGCTCAACGTGTTAATACTATTAGAATGAAAAACTGGAAAAATCTTAGCCAGGAACAGGACGGCATGGGATGAAATTCTGGTAAAAGCCTAGAAGTATGCGGAGCTGTCGTGAGGATAAAGAAAAAGAAGATGAAAAGGAATTAATTGTACTTACACAATAACTGGAACAAAATGAGCGAATGCCAATAAAAACTGTTCAAGACTTGATGGACTTCTAATACTGCAAACATGGAAAAATTCTTCTAAAGTATTGCATTTCAGACTGAAGCCCTTTTTTCTGTTCAAAAGAAAAAGTCGTAATCAATGTTAATTAGCAAACTAGTTTAACCAATAAAGTCAGCAAAATAGTTTATCCAATAGGGACAAAGGAACAAACATGAGAAAGATTATAAAAAGAAGGATGATTAAGGAACGGGGGGTGTGATTAACAAGTGCTGTGGCGGGAGCTGCAAGGGGCAAAAGATTAAATTAGAGTAGGTTTCCAGACATTAGGAAAGAGTGGGATAGCTACTAATTTTTAATTTAATTATTTTTTCTATTATTTATTAATTTTAATCTAAATTACTAAATTTTTTCGTAAAATACGGAATGATTCCTAGAAATCAAGCTTAGTAGGTAAAGAGCAGTATCGAATGATGTTTAGCAGAAAAAACTCAAACATATTATTAGAATTCCAATTACGTAGGACAATATAAAATCGTTTAATACCCAGATTTTTAAACATATCTTTCATGTCTTTACGACGAAATTTAAGGGTACGTTAAGTTTGTCCAATATACGGAAAACCACACTGATAAAAAAATTTGATTAATGCCCAGCTATTAATATCAGCAATAGGGTCTTAGGTTGTAACAATTTAGTTTGTTTAAAAGGATAAAAACAACTTTAAACTCAAATTCATTCAAAATCTTAGCGAATTGGGAACTGATTTCCGGATAATAATGAACTTTATATTGGGATGGGAGGAAACTTTTCGGATTGTAATTACATATTCGGATAATAGTAAATAAACTTAGAATTATAAAGACTTGGTTGGGTTACGTCATACCTACCAACTTTCACTCTTTCTGGGAATGAATTTTCCAAGTGGTAGTAAAACAATTACCGAAAAACAACCTTACTCAAATATATATTTATATTTTGACTAGGTTAAAATTCGCTATCATTCAGATTATCATTCAGATAAATGCAAACAAATCATTTGTTTGCTTTTATATATTTGTTGTAATTAATTAAACGTAGTGGTGGTCAAACTTATTTATAATTATCATTATAATTCAAAACTTTTAATGACGTGACATGAGTTTGGGTACCACTTTAAATACAAAATTAAAATCTTCCGGAAAAACCGGGAGAGTTGGCAGGTATGGGTTACGTGATTAATTTTCTATAAATGGTATCGAAAAAACACCAAAGGTTTTACAAATATATGTGGCTTCGCAAAGTTATAATAAATTGGTAGAGATTTAAATAGTAAAACTTGAAGAGTAAGGAGAATTACGCCCACTTTTTAAAATAGTCACCACGAGATCACTACTAACATGATTGCTGTGACTCGTGACTGACCGGTCACCAACGTCTGGCCACGAAAACACGAGTTAACTCGTGACCAGTCAGCAATGTGTTAAACGATCTTTCATCGCCCTTACACAGTTGGAATTCTAATCACAGGTTTCAGTTTTCTTCTGCTGTAATCATTTAGCACTGTTCTTCATCTACCAAACTTCATTTCTGGGAATCATAGCATACATAGAAAGATTCTAACAATTTAGTTCATTATCTTTCTAGTATCCTACCTACTCTTTCTCAATGCTTTGAGATCTATCTAATTAATTCTTTTCTCCCCTATTGTTTCCGCATCAACAACTGCCAATCACACCAGTTTCTTATTACCCATATTTTTATTATCTTGTTCAAGCTTGTTCATTTGCCCCCATTGGTTAAAATATTTCGCACGAGTTTACCTCTTTACTTTCTATTCCTTGTCCTTTGATGCTGGAAAGTTGAGGAAGGTTCTTGTTTATAGAATTCAAAATATAGTATGTCCTTTTTTGTTCTTTACTTAAACTCATCGCAATTTATTAATTAGGCAGCACTTACGGTGCTTTTGCCATTCACCATATAGAATTACAAACAATGTGTAAATAAACAAATTGGTAATTTTTAAAAAAATTTTGCAGTAAAAAAAGAGGCGGTTCAATTAAAGCCATATAATATTACAAATTAATAAATATTGAAAAGTTATTTTTGTGTCCATAAAGATAACAGTGTAATAAAAACTTGTTATGGGGAGAATTACTCTATGCCTATCCATAATAGTAGATGATGATGAGGAGAAACAGTGATGATGCAATGTATACGGGTGATAAAGAGATGCTATTTACATATTTTGGTACTCAGAAAAGGGAACGTCGCTGCAGTAGAAGGATGATACGGGTCTTATTGAGATGTCTTGAATTGAAAAGCCTGAGTTTGAAATGTCTTGAATTTACTCCTGCTTCAGTCTTATTTTAAATCTGTTTATATTAATTAAATACCATGATAGTGAAAAAGATTTCATATTAAATTTGTTAAAAGCATAAAATGAAAGAATAAAGTTTGCTACCACTTTAAATATTATTATATTGTGCAGAAAAATCTTTTCCTGTCCACTTCACAAGGTTCCTGTTGTAAACTCAAAATGTTTTTTACACACTGTACAAATTCATGATGTATGGGTTAGGGGCCGCTGCGCGGCCCAGGCACCCAATTTCTTGATAATAAACGTAAACGTTCACAAGGTTCCTACTCTCTAGAAACAACAAATGAGTGGTAGTTAAGCTCTTTCAAGGCTGTTGGTTTCACCGTTTATACTAACTTTTCATTATTTTTATATATAATAAAAATGTGAGGAACGTATAAAATTTATTATGTTGCATAAAATATATCATTGTTGCATATCGTTTATACCAGGGTTGTTTTAGGAGAAAAGGAAAAAAACTGATAATAAAACTATTTCACATCTAGATTTCTTAGAAGGTCAAGTAAAATCTTTTACTGTTTTTAATTGTAAACTATCCATCACTTTTTCCTAACTAAGAAACAGTACTGTATATATTTTATAAATGCTAATAAGTCTTGGCAATAAACGATATTATACTTCTCCCGAAAACAAAGGTGACATGAATTGGTCTCAGTGCCAGTTTTTATCTTTTAGCTGGAATACAAACGACCTTGTATTACTCTAAATCTGCGGTTCTTAAAATCCGCGAATCCCCGGGGGCCCTCCAGTAAGTGTTGGTTGCACTCCCCGATTTGTGACACTGGGCTGTTAGAATATGATACTCTCATTTTCGCATAGATAGCAGCACCATAAAGCTGCTAAGGTATCTGCAATGCCCAGTTAAATTTCTTTGTTACCATCTTGAAACCATGCAAGTTGAAAATGATTAAAAAAAAACGTATAGTTTTATTTTCATGATTTCTTAACTCTCCCAGTTATAAACAGTTTCAAAACCGCAAAGGTAAAAAATGCTCTTTATCGTAAACTTCACTGTTGATTGACAGACTGCTGCCAGTTATTTTACCATAGTTTTAGAATGAAAGTTCTAAAAGTGTGTCTCCGAATGAAAAACAACAGGATTAAGGATCCATTTGCATGATATGTGCGTGGACAGGATGGTCTCAGATCAGTAGAAGAACAACAGGATTAAAGATCCATTTGGATGATATGTGCGTAGACAGGATAGTCTCAGATCAGTAGAAAAACAACAGGATTAAGGATCCATTTGGATGATATGTGCGTAGACAGGATAGTCTCAGATCAGTAGAAAAACAGCAGGATTAAAGATCCATTTGGATGATATGTGCGTAGACAGGATAGTCTCAGATCAGTAGAAGAACAGCAGGATTAAAGATTCATTTGCATGATATGTGTATGGACAGGATGGTCTCAGATCAGTAGAATAACAACAGGATTAAAGATCCATTTGCATGATATGTGCGTGAACAGGATGGTCTCAGATCAGTAGAAAAACAACAGGATTAAAGACCCATTTGCATAATATGTGTGTGGACAGGATGGTCTCAGATCAGTAGAACAACAACATCTGATAAAAATTTCAACAACTGGAGCTTTTAAATCAGTTTACAAGATATAAAGCCTCTCCCAAACTTTTGGGACCACTTACAGGAAGATTTTTCCAGTTGTCCACAAAAGTTCTGATGCCTGTCCAAACTACTCAGTCATATGAAAGAATATTTTCAACTCTTCTTTATCATGAATGTAAGTACAGAAACCATCAACAGAAACAGCAGATTTACGGGTCAGAAACAGCAAGATATAGAAGAAGAACAGCCAGATAAGTAAAGAAACATCAGATTTAAAATATTGCACTTGATATAAAAACCAGCACTAGTAAATAAAATGCGGCATCTTCCCTCTCATAAAAATTTTTAATTAATTCAGTTTAGTACATTATTTAATTATTTGAAATTAGTATTTTGTAATATTTTTAAATAGATGTTTTTAAAGGAAAACAACAAAAAGTATGCATGTGTAGCAGAGGCAGTCTTAGGATTATTGAAGAACCTTAAAATCACTCAGTCATGTGTTGGGAGTCAGGGAGGGATGTCAGGCTGATACCTAAAATGGGTCGCGCCAATCTGAAGTTTAAGAACTGCTTCATTAACTCAGTAAAAAAAAATTACTTTCTTTAGTTTAGTAGCAAGTTTAATACAAAATAACACAAATAGTGAGTTCTTTATACTATAGAACGTAGCATTCCACTTACTCAGCAATTTCCCATATTGTTTCACAACGAACAGAGCCTTCTAAATGGGCGTGCAATTCCACCTGTGTAAATAAACAAAAGAGGTTACCTTAAGATACATGACAACTTTCAACATTCCCGAGGAAGATTTTCCTCAGTAAAAATTGAATAATAATTCCAGACAGAAAGATATTTTTGTTATGTAGGTGTTTAACCAAACCATCGTTTATTATCTTACACTAAAATCTGTTTTTTTTTATTTATTTATTTTTATTTATATGCAGTGGTGCTTAAAGTAATTTTAAATTCATAAATTCAAGATACAAATAGGATTCAAGATGCAAATGCAGATACAAATACACAATGCAAATTCAAGACACAAATGTATTTTACTACCACTTTTAATATAAAAATAAAATTTTACGCAAGACGTGTAAAACTTGGCAGCTCTGCCTAAACCAATATTCTGATGCACATTTTTTTGAAACACATTAAATGCTGCAATAAAATTGCTATGATGCATTTATTTATTTATTTGCTAAACCATTCTTTTATACTGCGCATGCGCATTATAAAAGATACCATACACGATTATACTGCGATTATACTGCGCATGGGCAGTTTAAAGGAACTACCTTAAATACTTAAATCTTGCTCAGTTTCTAACAAATATTTTTTTTTTTTAAATTTTAAATAAATAATTTTGTAATTGATTTTAAATTGCTCCAAAATATTTTTTGATTCCATTGAATATTTATAAACTTACAGCAAAAAAACGTAAGATAAAAGATTCGTTATTTTTTACATAAAAAGTCCATATTTCCATAAATATTTACTCTAGGTTTATGAAATTTTATGCAGTTATTTCAATTAACAACTAAAGTATCGATACAAGTTACAAGCTTAGGGTTCGCATAGGGTGTACAAAAATACTTGTTTTCTTTCAAAATTTATAGTCGGTCTCCTAAACCTCTGAAAGCTTTAAATCTTATTGTTAAGTATGAAAAATTGCATGAGCTAATCTCTAAAGAAATAAAATAATAATTTTAAGTATTTCTTAAGAAGTTTTTTATAAATAAAAAAATAAAAAACTCAAAGTGCCTCTTCCATTATTGTACGATAGAGTATATGTAGGACTATTTTTTACCCAAGATAAAGTGATAGATAGTTGACAATTAAGAATAGTTGGTGTCAAGCCGCACCACTCCGCGATGTAAAATAATTAGTAATTCTATTGGTAATATGAAACGAACATACCATTTAATATTATCAGTATGTACAAATAATATTATCGCTGTATTTTATTGGAATTTCGAGTTTAATAGTCAATGGCAATTTTTTATTTCACACGGCGTGTGTACACGGCATACGCACAGCAAAAGAGATTTGGACCGACAAGTATACTCATCTAACTTACCGCAATAAAGATTTGGACCGACGTATATACACGTCAAACTCACTTAACTGGTTAATGTATTTTATGATACCTCCTATATAATTATCAAAATGTTCACGTTTTAATTTCTTTTCTTTTTTTTGAAAAAATTCTCGAATTATAGAAATTTTCATCTCCTTCACCCCAATCATAAAATTTATTTGCTTAAGTCATGAATAAAATATCTAAAAAATTTATTTTCTTAATAAGCAACAAAATAAATTTTCTTGTTAAAAACGGAAAGATTGGAGGATAGTTATTGGAGATTACCTGCCTCCCTTTGCCACCGCACGACGTATTTCATTCCCTAAGGATGAGAAGGGAGAAATTTTTGCATCATTGAATAGTTTNCATATAGACTCAGATTGCCCCCTTAAATAATTTTTAAAGTATTTTATTTCTTTTGTAAACTATTAAAAAAAAAATTTTTATTTATTTTTTCAATTTGGGGGATCATGACCCCTTTGATCCCCCCCCCCCCATGANCCCCCCCCCCTATGATACGCCATTGCCCATAAGGATGAGAAGGGAGAAACTTTTGCATCATTGAATAGTTTTTGGACCATTCCTAAGGAAAACCTATCCTTTTTACAAGTAACAATAAAATACTCGAAACAAACAGAAAAACTTCAAAATGATGCTTAAGATCAATTTTAGTAAACTTTACTTGGCTGGCAAAATTATGAAACTTACAAAAGTTAGTCTTAAAATTACTAAACTCGCTGGTGAACTATATAAACAAATATTTTTTTTTCCTAGTTCTAATAATTAAATTCTCATTTTAGACTTATCCATTATTTAAATTATCCTAATAACCTTGATAATAAAGAAGAGTTTACTAAATATATTTCGTTTAATAAATGATGAAATAATATATCTAATTCATTTGAATAAAAAATTCAAACTATGAAGTATTTCTTTCAGTTTAAAAATTAATCTTCATAATAATTCTTATTATTATTGTAAAGATATTACTCAAAATATATTTTTGTACTCCTTTTTCCATTTAAATTAGAAGCAACTTTAAATTCTTTACGAGTTTTCTCTAATTTTAAGTTTTGTCATAATTACTTTAAGAATATTAAAAAGTTATGCAAAAATTAAGAGGAACAAAAAAAATGAATTCAAATCACATATGAATTTTATACGAATAATTGCGAATAGAATCATAATTACTTTACATCTTGGCTGCTTACTGGAGTCAAATTCGATGAACTGTGCCATAGTTCATGTAGGAAAAATTAAACATTACTTGTTGAGCTGCGCACGAATAAAATGCGAAGTTTTTAAAATTTTTCACGCCCTCATTTCTTAAACGATAAGGAAAAAGTTGCTGCTGCCATCTTTTAATGAAGTATAGCTCTACTTATATATTTTTTTTCTATTCTGTTTAAAATGTCTGCTGTTCGTGTTGCCATCTATTGGTTTATATGAAAACTAATTCTTAAACTTTTGCACGTATACTTTCTGTTTTTAATGGAATATTCTCGGGGAAAAAAATAAGGCATTATTCAAACAGTACGTAAACACTTACGGAGTTCGAAATTAGCGATTTGCTATTTTCAGGGCCACAGACAAGGGGACAACTGCATTCTAGGAACGTGTGATTAATGTATGCCCTGGTATAGCCTGTTTCCAATAACAAATGTTGAAAAAGAAAGTCTTTGAATGCAAAGTAAAAAAATTTTATAATTCAGATTTTCTTATTTTTAACTAATTATTTATTTTTCAAAAATTTTATAAAAAAGAACTAAGTTGTTAATACAAATTATAAGAATTTAATGAATGCTTCTTTTTAACAAAATGAAAATTTCAAATTCTCTTACTTTTCGAAACTAGATAGTTCTTTTTTTTTATCATCGACTTCCACAGTAAAAAAAAAAAAAAAATGTGCAGTAACATTTCAACACTGTTTTCTATCATTAAAAAGATAAAATAGCAGATGATGGTTATGAATAATGATGCTATATGCTACAGGTTATGCTATAATGAACTCAAAAATTATTCGTATTTTCCCTAAAGTAATATTTTTAGATTCTGTTTCATTATTTTTTTCCTATTAAATTGTTTTTTTTTTTTTTTTTTTTTTTTTTTTTTTTTTTTTTTTTTTGAATAAGTAACATGAAAATAAATGTTCAACCAACATATATAAAAATCAAATGAAAGTAATTAGGGATTGGTTATTACATTTTAAATTTACTTATTTTTAACTAATTATTTATTTTTCAAAAATTTTGTTTATTTTTAAATTTATTTATTATTAAAATTTTATAAATTTTATTTTATTTATTTTGGCTCTTTTTTCCCCTTCAAGTAACTTTACAATAATTTTCTTAGGAACTCACATGTTTTCAACTTGTACTGAAGAGAAGTCGGCCCAAATTTAAGATGGTTGGATTACAGCAGGTATAATAGACTGGAGAAAAAAAAATTAAAGGCTTTTAGTTTACATAAATGTGGATATCAGTGAATGTTTTGTGTTGCGTCAAAAAGCAAAGACAACATTGGAGAGCGATTACCGCTTGTGCGTTATGCGTTCGTTCATGATATCATTGCTCTTCAAATTTATTTGTATAGTAAAGTTTATGTATTTGTGCGTCGAGTTTATTTGTAATAAACACAGAATTCATGAATTCCATCATTTGTAGGCATAGATGTTCAAGTTTATGGCCAATTCCTTACAGTGGGTAAAATTTTGAAATCTAGCCCACCTTTTACACAAAAAAATAAATAAATATAAATAAAATAAAAAGCACGGTTTAAAAAATTAAAATTAATTTTAGATAATAAGCTAAATGAATTTCTTTTTATAAAAAATGCGAACTCAATTTTAATATGACATTATTGGAAAGAAATGGCTTTTTAAAGGATTAAATGAGGGATTGTTGGAAATACAGTGAAACCTCTCGGTAAGGGCCACCTGTCGTTCCATTGAAAATTGGCCCTTATGAGGGGTGGCCCTTAAATGGGGGTGACCAAAAAATAAAATGAAGAAATCAAAATTTANTGGAAATATATAAAAAAAATATATTCACTGAATGAAGTTCTTTCGTATCAAATGTAATTTATTTATTAATATGAGTAAGAGAAGTAATGAAATGCATTGTCATTTTATCTCAGTTTGGATAAAGTAACAAATTAAATGTTCAGTGCACAAAAAATAAATGGACCACCCTGAATATCTTTTGATCCAGCGTTCGGATCTTAAAGTTCTAGGACTCAATCTTAATATAAAATAATAAATATTTACTAAAATTTATTTCTTGCACGGAGTTATGTTTGGACTAACAAATTTTATAATTGTGTGCAAATTTTTTCGATTTGATTAAAAAATTCTCGAGTTATGGCGAAATACGCCAAAAGTAAAATTAACAATAAGGGGTCCTAACTTTGGATCACTCTCCTGACCACACTATGGAAGCAATATTTCCCTGACTGCGGTTACTCCCAATATTTTTGGAGTCCGAAATCCGAATCCATCGAAAAAAAGGTATGTTTATTCAGAGACAATACGTTTTTGTGTCTGACTTCGAAACCTAAAATATCGTCTGCACTAATTAATTAACATAGTTGAAGTTATCCTCTAGAGCAGGGGTCGGCAACCTGTGGCTCGCGAGCCGTATGTGGCTCTTTTGATGTAAACTGGCGGCTCTCCAGTTGACAAATACATTCCATTTCTATCTCACCCATGGCAGGACGACAGGAATACATAGAGGGGTAACGTCAATTTTGCAGAAAAAATAAACCACGAAATTCCAATGTTTCACTGCATAATTCATCAAGAAGTGCTTTGTGGCTAAATATTTCTGACCGAAATGGTTGAGGTAATTAGGATTATTAACAGCGAAACCACTCTACCATCGCCAGTTTTCTGACCTACTTCTGCACAATAAAGTGCGATGGCTTTCCAGAGGTAACTTATAGCAATTCAGGGTGGCCACTCAAATCAGGTTTTAAATTTCCCTGATTTTTCCAGGTAAAAATCTTAAAATTTCCCGGTTAACGCGTTTTTTTTTCATAAAGTATAAGATGAATACAACAAAAGTACAAAAATTTTAAAGTATTTTATTTAAAATGATATTTGTTTAATATGTCATATTAAAAAAATAATTAAAGTACATTTATTTTAGGTTAGCAAAATTTTGTTTTTTACTTTTTTTTTTTTTTTTTTTTNTTTTTTTTTTTTTTTTTTTTTTTTTTTTTTTTTTTTTTTTTTTTGAATTTTTAACGTTTTGGTACAAGTTGAATGTGGTGAAATTAAGTTGGATGTGGAGAAAATATGTTTAGCATGTAAAATATATTGTTTTGATTGAATAAAAAAAGTTTAATGTGAATGCAATTTTTGCACAAAGTGCACCGAATGGCAAATACAGAAAGACTAAAAAAAAACTTTGATTAGTATTGTTTAATATATTTCCATTAGGGATGTAATGAATAGTGATTTGGCAGAGTTGCTGAATATCGAATAGTCGGCAAAACAAATCGTCTGAATGCCAAATATTTGGTGGCCGAATAGTAGCATTTTTCTTTTTTAAAAAAATCATTAATATATATTATTTTTTTATATATAAATAAGTTCAGTCATTTTTAAAAATTAATCAAAACTTAGCTATATTATTAGAGTCGGGTAAGGAGAAAAAATTATAAAAGTTATCTATTAGAAATATTTAAGATAAATAAAAACTAAACCAATAGCTACAAAAAAAAACTGAAGTTGTAAAGTTGAATAAAAAAGAAAATATATTCTCTTAATTTTTAAGACAGAATTTTAATGCTGAAAATGGTATTTTCCAAGAAAGAAAAAAAAAAAGTAAACATAAAAATTTAAAAAAAAAAAAGTCGATCAGAAAAACTTTTAAAAATGCCCACAAAAAATTATACACAAAAGCGAAACATAAAAAATAAAATTCTATCATAATTAAACTAAACTAATGGACTACCATATTTTAAACTGAACATCTATTTTCCAATTATACTGTATTTTTTTTTATTTTTGAAAAAAGATAGAAAAAAGAACTAAGTCTAATAGAAACTCTCTTAATTGCTCCACCATAATAAAACTCTTGATAAAAACCGAAGTTTTTTAAAAAAGGAAAAGCTAAATGGAAACGAAAACAAAAATTGTTCTCAATTTTTAAAAGAAAATTTAACGCTTTTTCAAGTATGTAAATATAAACAGGTATCAAAAATAATGTTCCTCAGAAACACTTTTTAAAAAATGCTGTACCATAATAAAAACTTTGATAAAAAGTTAATAAAAAAAAGGCAAAAAAGAGACAAAAAAAAGCATTCTAATTTCTTAAAATATAACGTTAAGGTTGAAAATCATAGCATTATTTTTTTACCAGCTATCTGTTTTACCATACTAGAAAAAAGTAAAAATAAAAGAATAAAATCTATCATAAAATGATCAGTTAAAATGCCGTGATATAATCAAAACAGAAAAACAAAAAAGAAAATCTAGATTCTTAAAACAGAAATTTTGCTTTTCCATTTATCTTCCACAACATAATTTTGCAAGCACATGAATATTAAAACTTAACAAAGATGTGTAAAGACTATATCTGATAATGCATAATAAAANCGGAACAAACGATAAATGGATTCAACCCACGGTTTAGAAGTGAAACAAATGCTACTTTTATAAACAGAAGCAAATATCTTAACTCCGTTTTCAACCTCCACCACAATCTTTGCCTTTCCTAAACTGTCTCCAAAAAGGTTTCTCCATTCATTTAGCAATCATGAGTTTTATGTGGCATTTTAGTTTAACAGGGATTAATGGAGTAAATTTTGATGCATGCAAAATATTGCTAAGTTGATATTTCAATTGTTTGGCAATAAATTTCCGTTTAAAAAAAGTCAGAATAATGCATCATAAAATAATTTAAATTAAGAAAATCTATAAAAAAATTCCAACTTTTCTTTAAAATTCCCTGATTTTTCCAGGTTTTTATCTTAATTTCCCTGACTTCTCCAGGTTTTTTCCAGTATAAAAAAATTCCCTGATGATTCCAGGTTTTCCAGGTGGGTGGCCACCCTGAATGTGCTTGAGTGAAATAAAACATTCCTCAATGAAAAAAGCATTGAACATCCGAATTGGAAGAAGACAAAGCTGCAATAATTCAACTTCATGGTAAATACCACAATGAAACTAAATGAACTAAACCTGAAACCCAGCCTACGCCTTGCTTGAAGTAGTTTATTTCGTAAACAAATTACATAATTTTGTTGTAGTAACTTCATTTTAAAAATCTGAAGCAATATCTTGATATGAATGCAATTATTGACATGAATTACTTCAACATAGCTTTAAAAAATATGAAGAATGGATTCGCTGAGAGATTTAAGCAATTCAAAACAAACAAAAGTCAAGGTGGCCACTCAAAACAGATTTCAAATTTCCCTGATTTTTCCAGGTAAAAATCTTAAAATTTCCAGGTTTGTGTTTTTTTCCTTTTTTCTTATAAAGTGTAGGATGTGTACAAGAAAAGTGTCTGTATTATAAAATATCTTATTCATAAAGTTATTTTTTTAAACATATCTTGAAAAAACAATCTTTTTTTTACAAGATATTTTATTATTATTTTTTAATGTTCTGGTACAACATTAATTTTTAAAAATTAACCCATTGTATTATGTATTTTTTTTTAGGAATAAATATTAATCAGTACTTAAAGCTGTTTACTTTAAATCAAAAAACAAATGTATATAAAAGCGATTATAAAAATCAAAAATTTTTAGTGGCTCTTTATTATTAGGAAATTTTTAATTATATTATTAATATTAGGAAATTTTGCAAATTGTAACTTCTGGGCTCATTAGATCGAAATTATTTCTTATCTCCTTCCTCAAAACGCATTGTACAACTTAATTTATTATTGAAAGCCATGTAGTTTATATCTGTGAATAAAGCAGTCATTTTTTTTATTCATCGGAGAATCAAAATTCTTTGAAGCAATTAAAAACATTTCTTGAAACATTTAAGTTCGTAATTACACAAACAACGGAGCGTAATGTGAAGATTTTTGATAGCGGTTAACTGGGCAACCTCAATATCCTATTAAACGTAACACTTAATGAGAGGCAGTTTTATAATGAATCCAATTTAGCAAACTGCTTCAAACAAACATTAGATTTTGTGAGCTAATACCATTGAATAAGGGTGGAAACCTGGCAGTTTCACTAAAATGGGTAATTTTTAAAATATCTAAAAGAAATTTCAATGTCTCCTCTAAGTATTTAAGAAATGTTATTACATATTGAAGACACTTAAAAAATTATCTTATTTGCTATCTTAAGATCAGGGTTGGGTTTTTGACATGACAGGGGTAAAAAGAGTCAAAAACCTACTGTTTTCTTTAATTTATGGCATATAGCGGACATTATTATTTTCACATAATTGCCTTTATAAATGAATGTTGTAAATGATTGCTATTGATTTTGCAACTATATACATGTATTCTTATAGAAAGATATACATTCATACAGAAATATTGTAATATATTTATTGAAAATAGTGATACTTACTTTTATCATTATAGCTTGATTTGCAAAGGATTCAAAATTTTGCACTTAATTGTTAGAAATAGACAAACAAAAAGCTATGAACTATTAATAAATTCAAGTAAAAAGAATTTAAAATTCGGCATTTCTTAAATATTAGAAATAAGCTAAACAAAACTTTCAAAACTTGTAACTACTAACAAACTCTAAGTCAAAAATTATGGCTATTTTGTCAAGTTAAAAACTTTTATTCAGTTGAAAAAGCACATTAAACAAAACTTAATTACAAACAAAATTATATGTTCAGTAGTCGAGGTCACTGTGCCGAAGCATACGATAGCAAGTGACTAATTTTGTGCATTTTTCATTGCCCAGTCGATTTCTGAGTTAGTATGGACGAGTCAAAAATTCGAGAAGATTCTTTCAATGGATGCGGAACTGGATGAGCACTTTCACTGCTACCAAAACTATGGGTTTTTGACATGACGGTTTGTGCGTCATGCGTCAAAAACTTGCCAACCCTGCTTAAGATAGATAATTAAATACATCATAACTAGATCTGTAAAAAATATAACTTTGCGATAGAACTGAACCATTTTCCTTAACATTGGCAGATTGTTCAATTATAATAAGATCCTATCTTTGCAAATGAAACCATGTACAATTTTTTTTCAAATAGACTATTTTTTATTGAATTTACATTAAGACATTCATAAATTATCCTCTACATAATTACGCAATTATCATGATACAATGAAAAAATAAAAGTTCATGGAATTCCAAACCAGTGAAACAAAAGTACTACAAGAACCCAAAAATTTGACCGACCCATTGAACACAATTCTATTATGGTAAACCTCGATTGGTCAAAATTGAATGCTCCGAATCTACGCATTTCAAAAACATTCTGGAAGCAATACATTTAAGACAAAAATAGGGCATAAATAAAAGACAAAATTAATTGGTTTTTAAACATTTATTTATTATTGAAGCAACAGCAATACATTAAAGATATTAATCGTATTACAGCTTTTTCCTGCGAAACTCTTTACGATGACACATATGACAAAGCAACCAAGGGCTAAGAAACAATAGTATGACTCGCGACAAAATAATGCTTCCATTGAGTTTAAACTGAAAAGGTAACTTAAGATTATACTTAATCTTAACAAAATCATTGGAAATAGAACAAAAGTCATTGTAAGAGCTTGCAAGTTCATACCGTGGCAGGTCTGTCTTGCTGCCCACGGATAGTTATTTCTTCTTTTGAGCTTTCTCAGCAGCCTTTGTGACCTTACCACCAGAGAGATCCTTAGGAGTAACTGACTTGATTACACCTACAGCGACAGTTTGCCTCATATCACGGACAGCGAAACGTCCCAAAGGTGGGAAATCAGTGAAGGTCTCAACACACATGGGCTTGCTTGGTACCAATTCAACAATTGCAGCATCACCAGACTTGATGAATTTGGGGTTATCTGCAAAAAAATTACAAAATATTAAAAAAAAGTCACTAGCTACACTTAGTAGTGAAATGTAAAATATTATGTTATTTGCATCCTTGATAATAGTATAAACTGATCACACTAATCTACACACTGCAAATATTTTTATACCCAAATAGTGATTATTATATTTTATTGAAAATATAACATAATCTCTGGGAAGCACGACAACTTGTAAGAAAGCATATGTGTGAAATATATCACTCCACAGACATACCTTAAAATTGCATGACAAAACCCTACTGAACCTGATATTTAATTTATTTTCCATCGCTGTATTTTCGCAAAAAAAAGATTACAAAATATTAATAAAAGTCATTAGCTACTTTGTAGCGAAATGTAAAATATTATGTTATTTGCATCCTTGATGATAGTGTAAACTAATCACACTAATCTACACACTGCAAATATTTTTATACCCAAATAGTGATTATTATATTTTATTAAAAATATAACATAATCTCTGGGCAGAAGAAAAGAAAGCATGCACAACTTGTGAAATATATCACTCCAGACATACCATAAATCGCTGTCTTTTTGGCGCAGGAGAATATGCAAATGAAAAATTTGTTTCTTGGCTGCCTTTTCAGAAACCCATTACAAATGAAGACACGAATAGTAATGAAATTCCGTACTTTAAGCTTACAAATAAAATTATATTGACCTAAGTGTTAAGTGGAATACTTTTCGAAGCACTAGAAAAGTAGGCATGAAATGTAGCTTCCTTGATTACTATCACTCTCTAGATAATCTTATTAAATAAACACAAAAATAATAACTTTTAGAAGTAAAATACTGAAAATTTTAACTATTTTTTACAGCCATTTTGAAATTGAAGAAAAAGCCTCAGTGGTAAAGTACATTGCAGAAAGATTTAAGTGCTAGAGTTTAATCGCAGACATCTCGAAAAAATTCTGCAACAGGGCTTGAAATATTTTGCAAAACTTGCCAGGGTGATTTACAACTAACAAGAAAACAAGGAGGGGACATGAAGACATTGATATACCTTCTTGTGGGCTGGTCATTTCAAATCTCATGAGCAGCACAATAGATAGATATGTTTATCAAGCAGCTTTTAATGTCAACAATAAAAGCAGTGACTTCTGCTACAGATATGGAAATAGTTTGTTAAAACAGCAGAGAGGCCACTGAATTAGGTCTTTATTTCCCTGACTTTACCAGAATTCCAGGTAAGAAGGTTAATTTTTAAGTCAGCGTGCGGGCATTTTGTCTCACAAAGTGTAAGACTGGCACAAGAAAGGTGTAAATGTTATCAAGGGTCTGTCCAGACATATTGTGAAAGGTCCTGTTTTTGTAAAATGGTTAGAAAAAACTAATCATAATTTGTTAAGATAAAATAAGTGTTAAGGTCACATTCTTTCAACCATGGTCCTGCTTAAGTGAATTTTTAGCAAATAGGATCCTGTTATCGCAAAAATTACTAAAAACCTTTACAAGAAGTTTTTAAATTATAAATAAATATAAGATTCCGCTCAACAATTGCTGCTACTAAACTAATTATTTGGTATTTAGCCTTTACTGCTGAACACAAATATTCATTTCAGAATAATTTTAATTGACATATTTTAAATAACACAACATAGTAATTAATGTATCACTTTTAATTTGTTATGCATTAAGTTAATGTAAACAATTCTTAGATTTATAATATTTTATTTAAAAAAAATTGCCAGAAAGTAATTTTTATTTACATAATATTCCATTAATTTTAAGAATAAATATAAATAGATCAATTATTTATTTATAAAAAAAATTATGATTTAATATCAATAAGAATGTGCACACTATGTTAGTAAATGTAGAAATTTTTTCTTTGAATACATTAGGAATTCAAACTTAGGGACACCATAATTTTTGATAAAACATTTCATATTTTAATAAAATATGACTGAATGGGGTTTTAATAGAAATTCAAATATTTTGAACACAATGAAATTGGATGGGGTGGATTCCATTTTAAAAAATAGACCAATTTGGCAACCTAAACTAAACCTTCCATGATTTTTTTTAAACAAAAATAGTTAAAATCATGATATTTCGACTAATTTTGTTCAATACCGAAATTGATGACTTTACTATGACTTTCCTGCTGAGCGGATACCCTGAATATTCATTTAATTTTAAATAATTGACGTTTTCTTCCACGGAAAGTGATATATGTACAAACACTTGCAAGTCACTGTACTTACATTTCAATATTAAGCCATTTTTTACTGTATTTCACCCAAACAGTGCTTAAAATTAATTGATCATATTTTCCTTACGCCACTATTTCAATTCAAAAGTTTAAATAATATTTTGAATTATTACAAGCAGATAATTAAGTCAATCTTATTCTTCCATCAGTGTGCCAGTGTTGCTAGACTTTTTTTGCAATAATTATGAAAAATATTGTTCTCTATTAACTTTAAATCATTTGAATGGGAATTCCAAAGGGAGATTTTTCAATCACATCAGTAAGACTAGATGTGTAATTTCGTATCGGGTGAACAAGACTAAATGCATTATTTGAAATAGTGGTTATTACAATTCCCTAAGAAAATGCAGAATTAGTTTAAAAAAACTGCCACCCCTTATATCATAGCAAACCTTTTTCATCTTATACCCTATGTGAGGGTTGGTTGTATTTACCGGAAGTCTACATTTTAATATGTGTAAAAGTAATATGAAACTTACCTTCTAATTTTTTGCCAGATCGACGATCGCATTTCTCTTTGATCTCAAGGAATTTGCAGGCGATGTGAGCCGTGTGGCAATCCAAAACTGGAGTGTAGCCATTGCAAATCTGACCAGGATGGTTCAATACAATAACTTGAGCAGTAAATTTTTCAGTGCTCTTAGGAGGAGTGTCTTTGCTGTCACCACAAACGAAACCACGACGCAATTCCTAAAAGTAAATAATCTTATAAGAAACAAGCCAGTAAAATAAGCTTTTATCAAATCACACAAAATTGAAGACTTACCTTGACGGAAACGTTCTTAACATTGAAACCAACATTGTCTCCTGGTACAGCTTCAGTGAGAGACTCGTGATGCATTTCAACAGACTTAACTTCAGTGGTGATGTTAGCAGGAGCAAATGTAACAACTGTACCCGGTTTCAAAATACCAGTTTCAACTCTTCCGACAGGCACCGTTCCAATACCTGAAGAGAAAATTAATAAAATTCAAACAAGTATTCAAGAATTTAAACAAGTATGCTAGGGTTGAAATCAATCCCAGTGCAATACTACCATATTAGGCTTTAAGCATAGCTGGTAACTTAAAAAAATCTCAGTGCAATACTACGATATTATGCTTTAAGCATAGCTGCTAACTTAAAAAAAATCTCAACGCGTAAAAAAAATATAATCAATGTGTAAAATAACGAACAAACAATATTTAGCTTAAGTATTTACTCAATTAGTGAATGTTAAATTCAACACTAAATTGTAAATTTTTTAAGCCTATCTTTAACCAGGAAGTTATTATTGAAGAGCAAAAAGAAGTAAATTTTATTGACAAATAAAAGCAGAAAAATTTTTAAATCCAATAAAAGCTATTAATATATGAATCGTAAAACACAATTCAAAGCATTTCCAGTGTATAAGCGCTTTGCAAGAAAAACAACAAGCTTATAACACTGCTTTGAATTGTGTTTTAACTACCAACAAATTTTCCAAAGTTTTATTCCTCATTGTAGAAATCATCCAGACGTTAATATTTCAGGGTTAATCACATCCATATCATCATTCTTTAGATATCAATCTAATTTTGAGCTAGAGTTGACTGACTCTGTGGATTTCTTGTACTTCGTAGATTTATAATATGACGAAAAATATCACTTTCCACCATGACAAATGGTTAAATTAGCAATGGCAAATCTCACAGAATGCGGACTTATCATCAGGTTTCAAAAACTGAAGTTCCTTTGAATATTTTGCATTAAAAGTTTGGCGACTTATCTTTTTGTTCTCAGCCATAACTTTTATCCTAAGTAAAAAAAAAAGGTAGTAATGCTCGCCACACATGCGATTTAAACGAAATAATCATAACATTAAGTTTTACATACGAACTCCACGGCAAGAAATGTTTAAGCCCTGCCTACAAAAGCAGCATGACATTTATTTACAAAAGGTTGTTCTCACTGCCATGGTTTTGCACATTAGTTCAGTACCATAGAGCCAGTTGCACAATTGCAAAACTAGTTCTTCAGGCAAGAAACGCATTTGCGGCTTTTAACTAAAAGTAACATTAGAAGAAAAATACTTTAAGATGTGTAAAACTGTGTATAAGCATAGAGATGACTAGAAATGCATACACTTTACACCTAATGCAGTTGTCAGGTATGCTTTAAGGATTTTAATTTTATGGTCATAAAATTCCTACAGGTCAAGCAAAATTAACGAAGACTTCGAAATTAACTGTTTTCAAGAATTAACTGTTTCAACACCAACACTGTTTTCAAGAATTAAAGTAGTAATTTTAGCTTAACTATGCTTATTGCATATACTCAATCAATTTATACTCTGCTTAGAAATCAAACTAATTCAATAATCTTATCATAAAAATTAAGATTATTTTTGAATACGGATAACAATTTGATTTTATAAAAATCCAAATATTTATCATATTTAATTTTTATAACAGAAATATGAATTAATAGATCAACTCACTCTTATCTTTACGATCTTTATCTCGCTATACAGGTCACAATATGCTATTTTTAATTAGCATGAATGTGAATAATAATGTTTAAAATAATAATTCAAGAGATGAGTCAGAATTAAAAGGATTAATGTTTGTTATGGAAATCGAATTAAATCAATGAGTGAAACATTTCACAGGACTTCTATGTAAAAAGTCTCAACAATAATCACTTGAATTTAAATACCTCCAATTTTGTAAACGTCTTGCAGAGGCAAACGGAGAGGTTTATCTAATGGTCGTGAAGGTGGCTCCATAGCATCTAACGCCTGCAATAAAGTCTTGCCATCGGATTTGTTTCCTTTCCTTTCAATAGACCACCCTTTGTACCATGGCATATTTGAACTTGGCTCTAACATGTTATCTCCATTCCAGCCAGAGATGGGAACAAATGGAACTGTGGCTGGATTGTAACCAATCTTTTTTACATAGGCTGATACTTCTTTTTTGATTTCTTCAAAACGAGACTACAAGAACAAAAAATTTAAGACCATGAGTGTTATTTGGTAGTTTGATTTTAACAAGATTCTTATAAAAAGATAAATATACATACCTCACTGAATGGTGGTTCAGTTGTGTCCATTTTGTTTACTCCAACAATCAATTGTTTTACACCAAGTGTGTAAGCTAATAAAGCGTGTTCTCTGGTTTGTCCATTCTTTGAGATACCGGCTTCAAATTCACCAGTGCCTCCAGCAACAATTAATACAGCACAATCAGCCTAAAATTAAAAGTTGTAAATTCACTAAAACAATCAGAAAAGTTAAACATAACTGAAATAGATAAAATTATAATTTAATATCAAGGTTCATGCTCTACTTTAGAAATAAAATTCAAGTACTTTTAAAGACTTATTATAAAATTCTCCAGGACTTAAATTTTAGTAAAAGTTAGACTAAAATTTTACATTTTAAACTAAAATGTTTTGACGATAATAGTTAGTTGACAGTCGATAATAGCAGTACTGAAAAATAAGACTTCCATTGCTCTCTTGATTTCGGAAAGTGATCTAAGTATAAAAAAAGCAAGGGTGATTGGCATCAAGTCAAGAATAAAATTCATGATTCATAAAAACGTCAGATTTGAATTTTGCACAAGGCCTATTTTAAGCTAGGTATACAACCTCTGAATAAGCAAAAATTCGGGCAGGACGGGGGGGGTGTTCTATATAATACTGTGATATCAATTAGATATTTAAAAACAACTCTGCCGGGAGATTTTTATTTAATATTTAAAGTGGCAGAAGCATTTAGACAGTGAAATTTAAATTGTTCTTAAATATAATTTTGAAATTTCGACCACTTTTCAATTTAAGAAAATTAATCAATTATTGGATGTTGCGGCTTAATTATCATTTTAAATTTATTACGGGTCAGCCATTTTAAATTGAATCAGTTGCCAACTTTCACCTCAATATCTTCCAATAGATTCTTACTAACAATTTTGGTCACTTTGACTGTTTTTAATTAACCACTCATACTTGAATTAATTTTTTTTTCAGTAGCATCGATCATACACACTTGACATGGTCACATGAACACGAATCGCAACGAGTAGTTTTCAAATAGAGTATAAATACGAAAATCGATGTTTGATATTGCAAAATGCGTGAATACGAATTGCGACATTGGATTTCAAACTTGCGGAAAAACTAATAGTGATATTGGGGTTTAAAAACGCTTAAGTACAAATCACAAATCGCGATATTAGCTTTTTAAATTGCTTTAATGGGAATTGTAAGTACAATTTTTGAATCACGTGAAAACGAATCGCAACACATGGCTTTTAAATCAGTTTAATACGAAGATCGATATTAAAATTGCCTGAATAAGAATCGAGATTTTGTCAGAATTTGGCGCAGTTCCCAATATTTAAAATTCCTAAAATCAGCCAAATAGACATAAAATCTTAAAATCAAACAGTATGTGTCATCATCTGAAAGACGGGAAAGTCATATCACACTTACGTGCGTCAAAAAGTTAAACACAGAAATGCTGGAAATAGGGCTGTTTTCCTAGGTTTGATACTTTTCAAGGTCATTTTGAATTTTTCAAAGATTTAATATCATTTTCAAGTACTTTTAGGGGCCCTTGAAAATCAAATTCAAGTACTTTTCAAGGACGCAGGAACCCTGAATATACAAAAAGAATATAACCAAGTCATCAATATCTAGACTAAAAAACTATTTGAATGAGCATTACTGCATAGAAAAAACTAAAAAGCTGAAAATAGTAATTCAAAATACCATGTGCAAACACACTTCAAATTAAAAAGGCAGCTAATATCCTGAAAATATCTTAGATTATCAATTAACCATTATCAGGATTGATAATATGAAAACCTTGAGAATATATGAGATTGATTGATAATATGAAACCTATGAAACCTTGATTGATAATATGAAACCTATGAGTGAAAAATCTATATACCAAACATGTTCCATTTTTTGAAATAGTATTTATAATTAAATTTCTTATAAATGAAACATATTGCACCTTTATAGTAAGAGATTAAAGAAAAAACTTAAATCTGCAACATTGGACAAATCTTAATTACAATGAATGATTTGTATGAGTATGAAGCAAACAAATATAACTTTCATATCTGGCAAATATAATATTCAAGGGATATGTCCAGACATTTTGTAAAAAGTCCTGTTTCTGTAAAATTTTGTCACATTTTGTTTTGTTTTTTTGTAAAATTTTGTCAAGTCACATTCTTTTAACCAAGGTCCCTCCCTCGCTTTTGAATTGAGAATTTGTACAAATAGGGTCCTGTTATTAAAAAAACTTTTTCAAGCAGTTTTTGAATTGTAAATAGTTGCAATATTATACTCAACTCTAAAATTATAATTTAAAAAATTTACATTTTTAAAAATAAACAGCGATTGCTGCTACTAAATTAGAGATGCGACATACAAATATTTGGTATTTAGCCTATACTGCTGAATGCAGAATATTCATTTTGGGCGAATGAAGGAAGAAGCGTCTGTCGAAGATAAATAGTATTTCATTTACATTTTTCTTCCCCCCTGGATTCGATTAGCAAATCAGTATTTCATTTACATCTTTCTTCCCCCCTGGATTCGATTAACAAATCAATGATAAACAAGTTTCTAAAGTAGGGGTGTACAACCTGTTTGTTTAAACAATACCTTTTGTTTAAACAATATAAATTTTCTTCTTTCATTCTGTACGCTTCCTTTAGGTTAGAATTTATATCTCTCCCAATATTTATGTATATCAATATATATTTGATAAATTAATTATTGTGAAAAATTGAAAGTTTTTTCGCTAATCTACCTGCTGTGCAAGTGGCCCTTCAATCAAAAAGGTTATGCAGCCCTATTCTAAAGGGTCCGATTAAAAGATAAAATTCTTTTGTGAAGCGTTAGTTCTTCAAAGGAGATCCCTGATAATCAAGTCACATCAATGGGATTTAGCATAAGTTTTGAAATCTTAGATATATATACTTTATTTGCAAGTGCCTATAAAACAATTGGTTTGAGATACACATAATTATGTGAAATATTTGCACAAAAAAAATCATCTAACCTACTTCTAGTTTACAGGCCTAGGTGAATGATACAAAGAAACGGGAGTTCCGGGATACACCCTAAATACTAAGACCTCTACTATTTTATCTGTTAAGTGTTTTTTAATGGTGTGAATATGAATTTAGATATGAATTTTAAAATCATGTGCATATAAATCACTAATAGGGATTTATAACTATGGAAATGCAGTTTTAAATCACGTTTACATAGTCAAAATAATCAGACTGAGATAAAATAAATCACAAATGATTAAAACAAAAGAAATAAAACAAGAGTAAATAAAAAAATTAGTTTCACAACTTTTCAATTTTATTAAATTTAAAATATTAATGTCCCACTTATTTTACTCTCAAAAGATATTAAACTTTAGTGCCTTAAATTAAAAATCTAAAAAAGCAAATTATGTTTATGAATAGTTCGTTTTTTAAACTATCCCGCTCAATTCATCACTTTTGAATATTCAGTTTATAGTATAATATTTGAGCTTAATAACCTATCAGATTAGCAAATTTTATTTCATTAATATTTAAGTTAATATTGTTTAAAATATAGCTCGACAAGTATCTTTGTATGCTTGTTAAGCTTTATTAAATTGCTAATCTTTGAAATAAGAGAAGATACATCAAAAATTAGCATTCAGCAACTAAGAACTATTGATTAAAAAGCAATTAATATATAAGGCCTGTTATATAAATGGTCAAATACCTGAGAAGTGCCAGTAATCATGTTCTTAATGAAATCTCTGTGGCCTGGAGCATCAATGACAGTTACGTAATACTTAGATGTTTCAAATTTCCACAGAGTGATATCAATGGTGATACCACGTTCTCTTTCTGCTTTGAGCTTGTCCAATACCCAAGCATACTTAAATGAACCTTTTCCCATCTGAAATACAAAAACAAATTTTTGAATCACATTTATAAAAATGTTCAGACAACACTTTCAAATTTACAGACATTGATTGCTGGAAAAAGAAATTAAGTAAAATATTTTTCAATTTTTTAGTGCTGAACTGTACATACTCATTTTTATTCAAAATAATATTGAACTAATTGCCTGTCAAACTTTTTTAAATCAACATATATAACGCATAAAAATTTTAAAAAATAAATTTTCTTTGTCAAGGAGTCACGCCTAGTATCAGGGGTAATTGTGAGATTAACTCAAAAATCCTGAAAATTAGCGACTTAATAAATTTAGTCTAATATTTTCAAAACATGAAACCCTAAATAAATTATATGCAGCATCTTCCGGAGCACAAGTTTTTTTTTTTTTAAATTTACAGTTTAGTGATAACTGCATGACATTGTTATAACTAAATAATAGTAACCCATATTTGGGAATTTGTTTCTGACCACCAAAATATAAGGATTAGTAACAATCTAAGAAATAGTTCCCATGGTTTCATCAGGACAGCTATCAAGTTAGAACCTCCAAGTAAGCTTTGTTTTCTATTTCACTTAATCATGAGAACTTTAAACAATTCAAAAGGCTTTTGCACTCTTATTAAATTACGTATGACCAATAATAATTCCACGCAATAGAGTTCAATAAATATTTATAATTTACTATTTTATCTAACTATAAGGTATACTGGTTAGAGAATTTTACGTGGCAACAAAAAATTAAAGGCTAAAATTAACATGTGTAATTAATAATACTAAATAATTTAATAACATTCAAATAGTACTATTGCAACTGAGCTATATAATCCAAGCCATGACCTCCCCCCCCCCTGATAAATTGTCCATGACGTACATTAAATCAATTAGAATTTTTTTTATTATAGAAAATAAACTATTTTATGAATACTTTTTGAAGTTAACAAAAGAAATAGCAGAATAAAATATTTGATAACAACCAGTAACTTAATACTAAAGCCATTCATTTCTGAACATTTCATTTTAACATTTTATGTCCCAGCTCAATATATTTCTTTTACATTTCATAGGATACATGGCTTATAGGATACATAGCTTAGACACAAAAATAAGTAGATCCTCTACTCCCAGTTAATAATTACAATATACAGACAAAATTACAGTACTTAAGCGGAAAAAAAACAATCAAGAAAAGCTAGTAAACATAGCAACCAAAAAAAAATTTAGTTATCAGCAACAAAACTTAGTTACAAAAGAAATTTTAATTTTGTACATATTAATCACGAAGAGAATTATTTCTCTCAACATTGAAGTAGATAATCCCTAATTAAACTTGATACTCAGAAAAATGCCAATGGAACATTCGAGAATGATCAGGAAAAATTTTTTCAACTGAAATATTACCAACTGATATATACATAAGATAAGTTAGTTTCATAAGAAAATTCGACATATTTTGACATTTTTGTCATGAACACTGCCAATAAAGAATAGAATTAGTACTGAACAAATACATACTTCTTGGGCTTCTTTTTCGAACTTTTCGATTGTTCTCTTGTCGATACCTCCACATTTGTAGATGAGATGACCTGTGGTGGTACTTTTACCAGAATCTACGTGGCCAATAACCACAATATTGATATGAGTCTTGTCCTTAGGCATGATTGCTCAAAAGTCGTCAATTAAATAAAAACCTAAAAATGAAACAAAATAATAAATAAGATCATATTATGCCCTTGTTCGAAACGGAAGTAACACGTGTAAGTTTAATGACAAGATTGGAATTCGAAAAAAAACACTTTAATAACACTCATATTTAACATACTTCATTGAAAACAATCAAAATTGAATCCTAATACCGACTGACATCTAGTAAAATTTATCATTTATTATTCTAACTGGGCGAAAATGTAGACGACCAACATGGCGGACTACGACACCGGTAAGAGAGCTGAACAATTACCAGACAAGATATATAATCTTGATATCAAAAAATTACCAGACAAGATATATAATCTTGATATCAAAAATTAATCTAACAACTTATTAACTAAAAATAAAAAGTTAAGGGAAAATATTATAGAAATTTATTCTAATTCGATTATAACTTACAACTAAATTCACTCTTCTACCACGAGTAAGGGTAAGATGCCGGTAAGGTCTAATTCAAAATGGAGAATTAAGTTAGAAATGATACTACAAATATATGAAATAATGATTTATTTGGCTTAATAAATCCTTAAAATGTAATGACAAGTATGGATTGAACATGGATGATAAAATTATGCATACTTACTATTAAGATTTTGAAGAGCTGACAAGAGAACACTCTGCAGTAAAGCTTAGCAGGTGAAAGAAGAGGAGGGAATGATCGACAAAAGTGATCACGTGACGCGCAAACCCGCTTTCTCGGGATACGTCATATGAGATTTTATACTCTCGACTTATATTAAAATAAATTAAAGGTAGTTTCTTACTAAAACATAATGTATCCGAAATGTACTTGAGACATTGTACTTCACTTAAAATATTATATTAAAGCTACAAATACAGGAAGAAAGAATTTTTTTATGAACTTTATCAAAGAAGCCTGTCAGATAGAAATAGTTTATATTTATTATTCTCACCCGAGTCGGGACTTTTTTTATCGCGAGTATCTAATTGATATCCATGCTTTTATAATTGATAAAACATTATTAATTTGATTTATTATTAAACACTTCAGCGAATAAAATTTTTTAAGCATCTTTGTTTAGTTGTAATACTTTATTTACATCGCAATAGAGCTGCACAATAGGCAATTGTACCAAGGCGACGCTATGAGAAGAATCCCTGAGGATGCTCCGAAAATCTGACATCACAATGAACGACTAGCCAACTTTTGATTTTGTGACGTTAAGTTAACTGAGCTTAAATCCAAAACGTCAAATAAACTCTTATAGCCATTATGCAAATATCATATTTGCTCTAAAATACAAAAAATAAACGGGTGTAAAGATACGAAGAGGTCTCGCCATTCCTCAAAGCAGAGTTCAGTACGTAATATAACTTCTTTCTTGACTTCAGAGATAACTTCAGAGAGTTATTCTGAAGCAAATAATCACATTCAAGACAAAACAGTCAAATGGCTGTGCCCATCACGTGTTGTGAACTTTGATCCTCTGCAGAAGAGATATCTCACCCGTTTTGGTAGTTCTACGCACGAAGTGAAGCACTTATCATTAGAAAAGTTTAACGAAGATCGATATTGTGCCCCCTCGGTCCCTTCGCAGGCTGATAAAAGTGATCCTCCACACGTCATTCACTAGCCGCTGACAGTGACACGTTACTTTGGTAATCTACTGGGAAACGATTCTTACGATCAAACGATCACTGCTTATGTTATATTGATAATAATAACCAAGGGCGCCGGCAAGGGGGTGCAAGGAGGTGCACTTGCACCCCTCTGGCTTTTTTTCTAAACAATTAAGCAGATACAGAAAAAAAAATTTGTTATAAAAAATTTTTATTACAAATATTTTTATTCAAAAACAAGTAATTAAATAATTATTGATACATAACAATTAAAAAATTGTTTAATCAAACAAGAATAGTAATCGTCTTGTTTGNAAATTTTTATAAAAAAATTTTATTAAAAATATTTTTATTCAAAAACAAATAATTAAATAATTATTGATACATAACAATTAAAAAATTGTTTAATCAAACATGAATAGTAATCGTCTTGTTTGCTGTCCAAATCTGTTTATGGATGGGTGATCGTGTAAAGCTAAGGGTGGCGGCGCTAGTGGTATAATTGCTCTTTCCAGACTTCCTGGTTACTGCTTCCGATATATTTTTACGCTGCAGATTGAGAAAACGCGCCATCATATTATTGCATCATATCTTTTGCAGTATTTCACATGTACCGAGTTCTTTCTTTCAGCCTTTAAACTTCAGCATTATCATATTAATATTATAATCATTAGAATATTTTCTAATTAGGCTAACTTAAAAAGATATTTTTAAAGATATTTTTGGCGACATTTTATTCAAATGTAGCCAAATAAGGGATAAAATACAAAACATGGCAAACCTTAAGAATTATTCACAATGAGATATTAACTTTCCAAAATTTTTTTTGGCCTTACGACCTCTGAGAATCAATACATTTCTGAAAGCTCTTATGAATGGTACAATTATGTTTAGATTTGAGACCAAATTACAATAACAAAACTGCATAGAATATTTGGCTTGTTCACACATCGCCTCGTAGTCATAACATATGCGGAGGGATACACCGGAAATTTTCTAAATTTCTTCCGGTTTAAGGACACTTGTTATTGTTTACATTAGTCCACCCATCCATAACTTTTTCAATGAATTCTGAGTCATCTTTGAATCTTTTCTTATGCACATTGAGCATGCACAAATTACTTAATTTCTCGTGAGACATTGTGGACCGATTCCATGTTTTGCTGCGCCGCATTGTTCTAAAAGTGCGTTCAATAGTGCACGTAATAGCTGGAGGATTTAGACCAATTTTGATTGCCTCCGCTACAGCTGGATAAAACGGTGTGCTCTCAATTACTAAATCGATGTATTCGAGAGATTCATAAGAATTTTATTTATTCCACCACATTTCGTACCATGTTGCAGCTTCAGTGATGAAATTCGGTTAGAGCAGATTTTTATGCATAGTATATATTTATATATATATATATATATATGCTACAACAGCACTATGAGGGCGAGCGCTATCCTGTTGGAAAATACACCCTTGAATGCTGCTCATGAATGGCAACAAAACAGGTGGAACCACCATGTTGACGTACAAATTACGGCTTCGAATGTCACGTGGCTCCCGGCTTCAAATGTCAACTAAGGTGGAGGCAAATATTTTCTAGAAAGCAACAGTTAAGTGGCTCTGCTATGCATTAAGGGGTCGGATATGGCGTGGCCAAGTAGCGAATGGATTTGAAAATGTGGCCAAGTGGTTTTGAAAATGATCAAGTCCATTTAAAGAGGTGTTATGTTACTAATGGCTGATCGATGAGAATTTTCCTGCCTCGCAATAACCACAGTACTGATGCAAAATATTCTCAGTCGTGGCATATGGATTATATGTTAAAATTTTCTCAACGAAATCCTTTCATTGTTGGGCTAACCCTGAGAGGATTTCGTAGTTTTTCTATCCATATACCGTAAACGCAGGTTAGTTCACCCCGAAGACTGGTTTGTCTCAATGCTTGATCCAGGAGTTACCTTGTCTTCTGGGTAGGGTTCAAAATGCTATCGCACTTCAATACGAGTCACGCATTTGTGAGCAGCTCGTTTTACATAGAGTTTACTGTGACTCTCGTCCTGAAAAAATAGAAAACTGGAAGCAAAGTTTCTATACGATTATTTGAAAACTTATTGCTCTAATTTTCCAATTTGATATTCTGAAAACAGAAATCTCTCGAAAAATTTCTCTAACAGAAAATTTTTTCTTTTAATTGGAGGCTAGTTCTTAAATGTTCTTTTAAACAATTGCTACCAGTTTTTTTTTTTTTTTTTTGAACGCTTGCCACCCTAACGAAGTGTGAATGCATTCTAACCATTGCATGCCATTTATGCACCTCTAATCGCGGTCTAGAGAAAATAAGTACCTAATTATTGATTTTTTTTGCGGAAGATTATGTTTCACCAATTAAGGACCAATTTCAATGTATGCGAAATCGGAGATAAGAATTAGAACTTGGTTGGAGAAAATATTTACCAGAGAAAAATTGCCTATCAGGATCTCGCTGCTTTCCCCAAACTCAAATATAAGATCTTTTTGCTTCCAATAAGAGTGGTCCTTTATGTTTCTATTCTCTCTCGAAGCAGATGCGTATATCGCATACAGTAAAAATGATCATTTAAATTATTCCTGTCTGATTGTACTTCATTTTGATTCGATATGACTATATATCGATATATTGATGTCATTGATGACAGGAATCGCACGTGATCATATTTTGATTTTTGTGTTTTGATTTGTAGAGTATGTGTTGTGATTGCGAAAAGAATAGTAATGAAATTCTTGATTAAACCTAATACGACTCTTAAAACAAAACTCTATATAAAGGCTATAGCCTCTGTCTAACATAAAACCTTTTCCAATTCCTGCTTAATCAATAGTATTTAAAATAATGTTTCAAAATAAAAGTACACCTTTTGAAGATGATATCGGTAGGAAAAAAGCAAACATTATTCTTTCGTTTATTATGTAATCAGTAAACAAATTTAATTCTCAGAAAAACAGAATTTAAATGTAAAAAGTTATTTTTTAATGTATTTTAGTTTGTATTAGAGATTACGAATTTGCATTTTTTGATAACTTATTTTATTATTGCGAATGAAAATTATAAATAATTTATTCGATTTTGCGCCAACAATTTCTACTAATTTAATATGGTAGTTTATTTTAATATCTTGCAGATTTTCGTACAAAGTTCTTGTATGTAGTTCACATATAGCTTAACCAAGCATTATGAAATTTCTTTACTCTTTAATTAGATTATCCTAGTGCCTAGAATTTTAATTATAAGGTAGTGAAAAGATATATATATATAATAGCATGGCTTATTGAAATGCATAATGTAAATTATTTTACAATACTCATGTAATAGTTCTGATATTTTTAATTTTGACTGTAATAGTTTAAATAGTAATTTAAAGTTTTTAAATAATTGTCAGTATGTTACCATAAGCATGTGTCATATTGAATGGGTAAGTAATTCATACATTATTTTCTTGAGTTTTTAGATCAGTCCTGGAAATTAATAGCCATTCCTTTTATGTCCAAATATATAATTAATGATGATTGAATTTGATATAATTGATGACTTTTAAAAATGATATTTTTTATTTAAATTACTTACTTATCTCACATATTAAATGTGATTATATATAAATATATTAGATTCATCTATCATGTATATTAATATGCAGCGCATTCCAAATATCAATGTAAAAATAACATTTTGTATGTACAATGACAGGGGTTGTATGTCTTACTTTAATGCTACATTTTTGTTGTTTCACATAAAAATAAGTTAATGTAGTTATTATTTTAAGAGTGAATGATGTTATTAAAAACTATGCAATCACCAACTTGAATAATTTTAATTTAATTTTAAAACTATTTTAATTTAGAAAAAGCAACTAGTGAAAATAATCTATCAGAAGATTGGTCCCAAATTATGCTTATTTGTGATAATGCTGTAAACTATCAAGATGGGTCCAAATTCTGCCTAAAAGCAATAATGAAGCGCTTGCATCATAGTGTGCCAAGGGTTGTTATGCAAGCGCTTGTTGTAAGTATTGTTTTTTTTTTTTTTTTTTTTTATAAAAATTGTAATTTCTGAATCTTAACAAGTAACTGATTCAATTTATTTTCTTAATTGATATATTTTCTTAGCTTTTAGATTCTTGTGTTAAAAACTGTGATAAGAGATTTTTATTGCAAGTTGCATCCAGTGAATTTACTACAGAAGTTAGAAAACTGCTAGGAAAAGTAAGATTATATATTTTTAGCTGTGTATAAATTTTTTGGAGATCTTAAAATGCTATATAACACTATTTGCATGTCTTTGTTTATAAAACTTTATTTTAATTCTACAGCTCTATGTTTTATTTGCTTCACAGTGTTTTCATTACAGAAAAAAAAATGGGAGAGAATTTCTCACCCTTTCTCAAAAACAGGGTGAGATTTCAAAAAGTTAAGTGAGATTTCTAAAAATTAAAAAAACACAAATAGACTTGGAAAAAAAAATATTTCTTTAATTATAATAAATTTTTAACATCTTCTGATTTCTAAACCATTGAACATTGAATATTTTTGCTGCATTATCATATGGAAAATGTTCTGTATCTACTTTTTCATTAGCTATTCTCATTAGGTTTGCTCAAATGCTTACCAATCGATCTGTTACGATATTTTGTTTTAATTCGG